AGTGTGTATGGCAGGGACTGGCAGTGTGTATGGCAGGGACTGGCAGGAACTGGCAATGCATATGGCAGGGACTGGCAGTGTGTACGGCAGAGACTGGCAGGGGCTGGCAGTGTGTATGGCAGGGGCTGGCAGGGGCTGGCAGTGTGTATGGCAGGGACAGGCAGGGACTGTCAGTTTGTACGGCAGGGACTGGCAGAGTGTATGGCAGGGACTGGCAGTGTGTACGGCAGGGACTGGCAGAGTGTAAGGCAGGGGCTGGCAGGGACTGGCAGTGTGTACGGCAGGGACTGGCAGTGTGTATGGCAGGGACTGGCAGTGTGTACGGCAGGGACAGGCAGTGTGTACGGCAGGGACTGGCAGTGTGTATGGCAGGGTCTGGCAGGGTTTGGCAGTGTGTACAGCAGGGACAGGCAGTGTGTACGGCAGGGGCCGGTGGTATGGGAACAAACCTAAGGAGCTGGATCCAATACAGCAAACCCGCCAGGCAGTGAGCCCGCAGCAACTCGATGAAATAAAAAGAACCAGATTAAAATATGCTGCTTGGGGACTGGCTGTTGGAGGTTGCCTGTAGCAGTGAAAGCTGGCAACATGAGCCATGACAGGAATACACAGTCAGCAGGGAACTACACAAACACTGAGGAAGGGGCTTGATTCTCAGGGCAGACACAGGGGGTGCATTGCTGAGGCAGACCCAGAGGGGAGCTGAATTTGTAGAGGCACTGTGTGAATATACAGAGGGGTCTGGCTGTGACTCTGAGTGGGGCCCAATGATAAAGGATGGTGCTTCACATGAGGAGGTGCAGGAAGGTGGAAGGGTACATCCATAAGCAGCACGATGGCTCTGCAGCTATCCAGGCTGAAGCCTTTTGACGTTTTCTGGTCTGTGGGAATGGAGAGAAAGATTATGGAGTCAGTGCAAACAGCAGATTAACAGGAGGATAGACAGGTCCATCTTGCTGCTGGAAATGGAATCAGATTTGTAACTCACCTCCCAAAAAGACACCATTTAAAATCTCCTGTAGCCCATCAGCATTGATCACCTGGCCCTGGGACAAAGAGTTGGCACAGTTTAATCAGGAATATACTGTTCTCCCAAATTTTACATCTTTACACTTTCCCCTCTGGGACTGGGTGTTACAGTGGGTCAGACACACTGTCCTTTCCCCTCTGGGACTGGGCGTTACAGTGGGTCAGACACACTGCCCTTTCCCCTCTGGGACTGGGTGTTACAGTGGGTCAGACACACTGTCCTTTCCCCTCTGGGACTGGGTGTTACAGTGGGTCAGACACACTGCCCTTTCCCCTCTGGGACTGGGTGTTACAGTGGGTCACACACACTGTCCTTTCCCCTCTGGGACTGGGTGTTACAGTGGGCCTGTGACACAGTGAGCTGGCACCATAAGCTGTGATTGTAGCACAGTATGTCTGCTTGTTCCTACCGAATGGACACCGTGCCAAAAGGCTGGGCAAGGCTGGGCTACTGTGGGGATCCGGATAGCGTGAACGTGAGCCAGCACATAAAGGCTCAATGAGCATTCCTGAGACAATCCTTAGTTCAATCCTTCAGCTTCAGTTTGAAACCAATGCCCCTAGTTGTTGTCTGAGTCACAGGAAGTAACGTCCTCCTGCACATCCACCTTGTGAGAACCACTCAGCATCTTATGCACTTCTATCGAGTCACTTCTCACTTTCCTAAACTCCACTGAAAACAAGGCCAGCCTCTTTCTCCGTCCCCAACAGAAACCCCCCAACATCCCAGATACTGGTCTAATAAAGCTGTATACAAGATTTGGCATGTGCTCTCTGCAATGCGCAGTCTCAGTATAACATCCTGACTTTTATGTTGAATTCCTCTCATTATAAACGACATTATCGCGCTTGGTTCCATGTTGTACACTAACTGGTTGTGACTCCTGCTCTGAAACGTTTAGATCCCTCTGCCCCTTTTCTTTCATTTCCTCAGGGAACATGGACCAGCTCTTAGTGCAATTCTGCTTTGTTCTGCAACGAAATAATACTCTGCTTATTCACTCTTCCTGCAAGGTGAACAACTCCATATTTTCCCACATTCTGCTCCATCTGCCAGCTCTTTGTCCACTCACTGAAGTTAGTTATATCTGTTTTTAACTTCCTATCATGTCTTCTTCCTATCATGGTGTTGTCTGTGAATGTAGCTCCTGTATCGTCACTCTCCTCATTAATTCATTGATGTAAATTGTGAAATGTTGATGTCCCAGTACAGATCCCGGAGGGATTGTACTTATAGAGCTTTTCACTGTTTTTATTTTGTAAGAATACGTGTGAGAATAAATTGCTATACTATCCTGTTCTACTCATCCCACCCTATCAATCAGATAAAGACCTATCCATGCAGATTCTCTGTTTTTTGACAGCCAGCCAATCTTCGCTCCATTCACAATAATCTTTCATGTGTCTTATCAAGTGCCTTCTGGAATTATTTATTTGCTCTCCTTCATCTTCACATGGTGAAGCAATGGCCTAGTGTTATCACTGGACTGTTAATCCAAAGACCAAGATAATGTTTTGGGTTCAAATCCAGCCACGGCAGGTGGTGGAATTTGAATTTAATTAAAAAAAATCCGGAATTAAGAATCGAGTGATGAACATGAATCTGTTTTCGATTGTCAGAAAAACCCATCTGGGTTCACTAATGTCCTTTAGGGAGGGAAACGACCATCCTTACCTGGTCTGGCCTACATATGACTCCAGACCCACAGCAATGTGGTGGACTCTCAACTGCCCCCTGGGCAATTAGGGATCGGCAATAAATGCAACCTGGCCAGTGATGCCGTCATCCCATAAATGAATAAAGAAAAAAGAAATCCACATGGCAAGTTATTCCTTCAAAGAAAAACCTATGAATTGGTTCAAAAAAATTTCCCTTTCCCTTTCCCAAAACTATGTTGATTCTTCCCAATCCCCTTGAGTTTGCTAAGTTCCCAACTATAACCTTAATCATCAATTTGAACACCTACCTTGTGCCTGACATCAAGCTAATCATAGAATCCCCACAGTGTGGAAACAGGCCCTTCGGCCCAACAAGTCCGCACCGACCCTCACAGCATCCCACCCAGACCCATCCCCCTATAACCCACCTAATCTACACATCCCTGAACACTATGGGCAATTTAGCATGGCCAATCCACCTAGCCTGCACATCTTTGGACTGTGGGAAGAAACCAGAGCACCCGGAGGAAACCCACACAGACATGGGGAGAATGTGCAA